TCGCTTACGCCTCCCGACAATTGAGGCCACACGAGAAGAACTACCCAACACATGACCTTGAATTGGCCGTAGTCGTTTTTGCTTTGAAAATCTGGCGGCATTATTTGTATGGGGCAAAGTGTGATGTCTACACGGATCATAAGAGCCTGAAATACTTCTTCACGCAGAAAGAGTTAAATATGTGTCAGAGAAGGTGGCTGGAACTAATAAAAGATTACGACCTAGAAATTCAGTACCACCCCGGGAAAGCTAATATAGTTGCTGATGCCTTGAGCAGAAAATCAATGGGGAGTATGGCCTGTTTGCTTACTGAATAGAGAGAGATCTTGCAAGATTTTGAGAAGTCTGAAATTGAAGTGGTAATGTGTGAACGGGGCGGATTGGTAGCCACTATTACAGCCGAGCCGGCGATCATTGATGAAATCCAACGAAAATAGAAAGAGGATGAGTACCTCAAGAAAGTGATTGACGAATTCAAGGCAAGCCCGAAAGCAGAATTCAGTATTGAGAATGAAATGTTGAAATTCCGAAACCGGATATGTGTCCCAAATATCCCAGAATTGAAGAAGAGGTTTTAGATGAAGCCCACAGATCCGTATTTGCCATGCATCCGGGTAACAATAAAATGTATCGGGATTTGAAACAGACTTATTGGTGGCCTAAAATGAAGAAAGAGATTGTAGAATATGTGTCCAAGTGCCTTCAGTGTCAGCAAGTTAAGGCTGAACGTTAGAAACCGGGCGGTCTACTTCAACCTCTCCCTATTCCTGAATGGAAGTGGGAGCATGTGACTATGGATTTCGTTGTTGGCCTACCTCGGACTTCTCAAGGTATGGATTCTGTTTGGGTTGTAGTTGATAGACTGACTAAGTCTGCACATTTTCTGCCTGTCAAAACTACATTTACCGCTTATAGGTTGGCTACCATTCATGTTGATGAGGTTGTCCGTTTACACGGAGTTCCAGCATCTATTGTATCAGATAGAGATCCGAAATTCGTGTCTAGATTGTGGAAGAGTTTGCAGGAAGCCATGGGAACAGAACTAAGGTTCAGTACTGCATTCCACCCACAGATAGATGGGCAGTCAGAACGAACGATACAAACATTGGAAGATATGTTTCGCATGTGTGCTTTGGATTTTCAGGGGAGTTAGGAAGATTACTTGCCACTTGCAGAATTTGCTTATAATAATAGCTTCCACTCTAGCATTGGTATGACACCATACGAGGCTTTGTATGGTAGGAGGTGTAGATCACCTATCTGTTGGACAGAGGTCGGGGATAGAGCTTTGCTTCGGCCAGAAATTGTACAAGACACTTCTGAAAAAATCAAAACCATTCGGCAAAGGCTCAAAACAGCTCAAGACCGACAAAAGAATTATGCAGACATTCGAAGAAGACCTCTTGAGTATGAGGTTGGTGACCATGTGTTCGTCCGTATCTCTCCGATGAAAGGCCAAGTCAGATTTGGGAAAAAGGGCAAATTGTCGCCCCGTTATATTGGGCCGTTCCAGATTTTGGAGACTCGGTCCAGTTGCTTATAGAGTTGCCTTGCCACCGGGATTTGAGCAAATTCATAATGTGTTTCATGTGTCAATGTTGAGGGGTTACCTCCGAGACCCGTTGCATGTGATTGATTATCACCGGATTGCTATTGATGAAAATATGGAATATGCTGAATGGTCGGAAAGAATTGTTAACCGACAAGTGAAAGAATTGAGAAACAAATCCATTCCAATGGTGAAAGTGGAATGGAAAGAACACTATGAGACAGATTCTACATGGGAAAAAGAGGAGGAAATGCGCCTACGCTATCCACATTTGTTTCCCGACGAAGGTAAATTAAGTTTGGAGGACCAAACTTCCTAAAGGGGGGAAGACTGTGATACCCCTGTCCCGTAATATGCTAATTGGTCCTTAATTTGAGTTCGATTATGTGTTTAGCATGATTTCATGTGCCATTATGTGAATGTTTGTGATTTTGAAGTCTTATCTGTTCACCGTAGGAATACCTGTCTGAATAACCTGTTTTGGAAATTAAATTGAGGGCCTTATCGGCCACAGAACTCGAAATTGATTACGCCTTTGTGATTAGCGTAATTTTTAGAGCCTACGGTAAAATTTAATTGAAAAATTGATTCGGGCCAGATTAAGTCGATTTAATTGATGAATTAGTACCCAAATATTTTATATTGAAATATTATATTAGTAGGCCTTGTTGTATGATAGCATTACACTCCCCTCTAGCCCTTATGAACTCAAAATCTGAGTTAGCCTATTGAGAGGAAGAGAGAGCCGGCTGTAGAGAGGAGGAGAGAAGAGAATTGAGCAAACTTAGCTCAAAGCTTAGGAGCCTTGAAGATTATTCAAGTTTTGACCATAGATTGGGAGAATCAAGCCTCTAGGTAAGTGAATTCATGAATATTAAGTTGTAATTTTGTGAATTCAAGTTGAAATAATGGTCAAGAACATGATATAGTTTGATTATGAGGAAATTGAAGGGGTTTGGTTGAATTGAAGGCCATTATGTGCATGCATGTAAGAAAGTACCTTGAATTTGCATGTTTTGTATAATCCATGTACAATTTTAATTGAAGCTCATGTTATAATCATCATTTATGCCATCTAAGTTGAGGATGTGGCTAATTCATCACATGCATGTACAATTTGAGAAGACATGAGCTTGAATGCATGAGTTTGTTATGTTGATGTTGAGTTTGACATGTTGTGAGACATGCATGTAGATAAATCAAGAAATTGAACTCCATAATGTTATAATCTTGCATTGGTACCATGTTGATATGATTATATTGAGATTTGAGCCATTGTGAGCAAGTATTGTGGCTTGAAAATCGAATTGGAGCTCAAGAACACATTCTGGGTTTTCCAGAATTTTGAAGTCCGCTCGAGCGGGATAATGGCCGCTCGAGCGTAAAGTACGTGCTCCCAGTATAATTTCTGCAGCCCTTCATGTTCGCTCGAGCGGGGAAGTCCACGCTCGAGCGGGGAGCTACGTAGGATGGACTTCCACTCGAGCGTCCGAGGTCGCGATCGAGCATAAAAATGACACATCCAAAACTTTTTGCAGGCATGGCTTCCGCTTGAGCGGGTAAGTTCGCGCTCGAGCAGGGAGCCATGTAAAGAGGCCTTCCGCTCGAGCGCCAGATTTAACGTTCGAGCGTAAATTTCCCATATCCATTACTTTTGCAGGCCTCAGGGGTCCGCTCGAGCTGGGAAGTCCACGCTCGAGCGGGGACCCTGTTTTCTAAGATTCTCTTTTTGCATTCTGAGTTCTGTTTTCCGTTCTCTTTCACTTGTAAGCCCTCTTAGGCATATGTTAAGCATTGTAAATGAATTAATGAGATATGAATAAAGCCTAATGAGGAATATGTGAATTAAGGAACGGATTGAATTGTTAGTGACCCTTTTGTGTTCATGAAATGTGTAGGGTCAAGCTCCAGGGCAAATCCACAAGCCGATCACTGTGAGTAATATTAATATTTAAAAGCTTGTAAATGTCCAATTATTATTCCCTTATAAGCCTTATGAATTTGCTAATTGGGATCGTGGACAAAAGTCTAATACAAATAAATGAATGGACCAGAGGTCGTTTTGATAGAGATAATGGACCAAAGGTCGTTTTGATATAAATGAATGGACTGAAGGCTGTTTTGACATGAATGAGTGGGCCGAAGACCGTTTTGACACAAATGAATGGGCCAAAGGATGTTTTGATATAAATGAACGGGCCGAAGGCCGTTTTGACAAGAATGAACGGGCCGAAGGCCGTTTTGATATAAATGAATGGGCCGAAGGCCATTTTGACAAGAATGAACGGGCCGAAGGCCGTTTTGACATAAATGAATGGGCCGAAGGCCGTTTTGACGTAGATGGAAATCAGAATGGGCCAAAGGCCAATATGTTTAGAACTACAGTCACGTGATCTAAACTTTGTATAAATATACATATGTTAAGTAGGAATATGAATTGGACCCAAGGCCGTTTGGAGTATATTGTTCTACATATTGTTTATATGACTTCTGTATTTGATATTATTCACTAGGCTATCGCTCACGCTCATTCATGTGTTTGTAGGTGAGCCAAGGGAAGTCCAAACCCAGCCCCAGTGAAGTCTGCTAAGAAAAATACGAGTTTTGAGGAAGTCAGCCTTGCGTCTCACTCTTGGGACCTATCCTTGCCTTTTCGTTATGTAATTATATTTTGTCTTGCCGCCAAGGACTTTATGTATATTTGTAAATAGTCTCTCATGGGTTGACTTAATTAGATGATCCTATCTGTAAAGAATTTTATGGTACTGTACTTCGAAGCGTGGGTTACTAACGTATATGAGTTTGGTTTGTTTTGAAGTGCATATAAGCACGGCTCTATGGACAAAGTTTTTGATTATTGCTTCCATTTGGCCCCTCTACTCTGTTGACTTATGTCTTTTTTGGTTTGAGGCCGTAGGTAATCTCAGGATTACTGGCCGGTTACATCCTTAACCCATGGGGGCAGGTTCGGGTCATGACACCTTCACTCAACATAGAGGCCACCATTAGTAAATCATTCAAAATGACCAAGAATATTTGCTTAATTATGAGAAAACCTATTTCATAATTGACAAAGAATCTTTCCATAATTATGCAATAGGTTTTTTTCGTAATTATGCAAACATTCTTTGTCAATATTTTTTTTTTTGATCAACAAAATGAAAACTTTATTGATGAAGAAAGTATAATATACAAAATCTTACATCAACAAAGAAGGAAGTACAAAAAGTATCAACGCTAACCTTAACAATCTCAACTAGGTTGGCACCGCTAAGAAATTACAATCATTTGCAAATACTTGACCCAAGATTGGCAAGAAGCCAATCAAAAGGAACCAAAGGAGAAAGAGAAAAACAAATAACAGAACAACAAAACCAGCAGTAACAGAGCAGAGAAATAGCATTTCAACTTCCCTCATAGCTATACAGACTAAACCTGCCTCATAATAGCTTCACAGACCAGACCAATCAACCAAACCAGCATTAGCAAAATGCCAACCAGCAACATACATCAGCAAGCCTCTGAATAGCAGCATACAGCATACCAAAAACAACATTATATAGCAGCAACATACCACATCTGACCTTGCACCAGCAGCAGATCTTATTCTTTTACCCAAAGCAAGAAGAATACCCCTAATACCAACAGTACATTCTTCACAGTAGCTTCCATGTTTCACACCTGGCTACACACAGTAGCATCCCTTTACTAACACATCTAGATCCAACTTTACTAATGACCTTGATAAAATGGCCAAACAATAAAAAGCTGTCCAGCTCTCCAACCTAACCCAGATCAACATAAATAGTCCCCTACTAGCAATATTAGCCACATCCCCCAACCACTACCTAGCATAACCTCCTACCATTAATTTGGAAGCAGCCTTCTTCTACACACATAGGCCTTGATCTGATGAAGATTCGTCACTATCTCCTGCACTGAATACTGTAGCCCCTTAATATTTGATTTACTCCAAAGTGTTACCCTTACTTTCACTAATTCTGAAAGATCATTCCAATCCATTGGTTTGTCACTAAAGAAACATTTATTTCTTATTTTCCATAATGACCACATAACTGCTAAAGGAACCACTTTCCACATTCTAAGAACCACCTACTAAATTTGACTCCTGACTACCAAAGCAACAAAATCTCAACTGAACCAAGAAGAACCCACACCAAGTCCCACCACTGCATTATATCAGTCCATAATTTCCAAGCTAATAGGCAAAACAACATAAGATGCTGAACTGACTCCTCCTCTATTTTACAGAACAAGCACAATGCATTTGATTCCTCATGTAACACTCCAAAACTCTTTAAGGGAGCTGCAGTTTTAACCCTACCTCTCCATGCTAACCACCAACAAAACTTTACCTTGGGTAAAGCAACATTATTCCATAATTCCTTAGTAACACTGACAGTAGGACTTTTTGAAGACATTCACCACTTCCATGATACTGCTACTATCAATGATCCTGCTAGATTATCCATCCATTTACACGAATCCTCAGTCTTCATGGAAAGACTAGGTGCTTCCCTTAGCAAATCATACAACCGTAGGACCTCATCTTCCTCCCATGCTAACAATGATCTTCTAAACAATAAATTCTAATCATTTGATTGACCCCTCCTCTGATAGATCTGCTGCACAGTGCTACATTTCTCTTCTGATAAACTATGTAGTCTAGGAAATTCCTCCTTCAAGCATGTATTATTCAACCACTTGTCATCCCAAAATTGAATTCTATCTCCATTCCCTACTGTTAATTTTAGATTAGATAAATAAAAGTCAACTAAAGTAGGGCTATGTGTAACAATTTGAAGGATATCACCCCAAATCCTGGACACTGCAACATTATCTGGATTACGTGGAACCTACATGCTCTAAACCACACCATACTTACTACACACAATATTTTTCCACAGAGCTATATCATTTTTCCCAAACCTGCACCATCATTTGAGCAGAATGCAATCATTAACTTCTCTTAGATTTCTAACCTCCAATCCCCCTTGATCAATGTTTGCTGATATCTCCTTCCAGTTTACCATGTGAAGTTTCTTCTTTGTTTCAGAATCACCCTACATAAAGGCTACCTGAATCCTATCCAACTGTTTAGCCACACCCACAGGTAGTTTAAAAATTGATAGGAAATATAAAGGTAAACTTGAAAGAACCGCCTTCACTAATGTTAATCTACCTATAAATGAGAGCATCTTCCTTTTCCATGAAGCCAATTTGTGCTTTACTTTCTCGATCACTGGATTCCAAGTGCTCTTTCGTCTAGGATTTGCCCCAAGAGGTATGCCTAGATAAGCAATAGGAAGCTTTTGGCTATAACAATGCAAAATTGAGACAAAATCATTAATGTCCTCTTCATTAACACCAACCCCACACACCACACTCTTGTGGAAATTAATTTTTAAGCCAGACATTAACTCAAAACACCTTAAAATTCTCTTTATATTGACCAATCCTATCAGCTTCACAGAAAATAATAGTATCATCTGCGAATTGTAAATGAGAAACCTTCAACTCATTAGGCCCAACAGTGGCACCTTTTACAAAACCCAACTCTTTTTCCTTTTCAATCAATGTATTCAATCCTTTAGCAACAATGTTGAACAAAAATGGTGATAACAAGTTGCCCTGCCAAAGTCCTTTTTGAGGTGTAAGTTCATCAGATGGAGATTCATTAACCAGAACAGATATTTTGGCTGAAGATGTGCATATTTTGATCCACCTCACCCACTTTTCCCCAAAACCAAAATTCTTCATCATTGAAAAAAGAAACTCCCAATTTACTGAATCGTAAGCCTTTTGAAAATTCAATTTTAGAATGATTCATTTTCTTTCAGATCATTTCCACCAATCCACCACTTCATTAGCAATCAATACTCCATCTAGAATGAATCACCCCCCTCAAAAAAAAAAAAAAAACAGTTTGGACTTCACTTATAATTGCTGGCATTACCTTTTTTAATCTTCTAGACAACACTGTAGCTAGAACTTTATAAACTGAATGAACTAAGCCTATTGTTCTATTGTCACGACCCAAACCCGCCTTTATGGGTTTAACACCGTAACCGGCCAGTAATCCATGATTACCGAAGGCCTGCTTAACAGTAATGATAGTAATACAGAGTAAAAGGGTCGGCGGAAGCCAAAACAGTAAATAAAAAATGTCCAATGAACTGTGACAGTCTGAATGCAAAAAGACTTTTATGAACAAGTCACATTCGTAACCAAAACACATTTGCATATCAGATATACATACATACATACAAGTCAGGGATTCAATCCCTATGCCATAACTGTACAGTAGGAGTCTACAACATCTATTACAAAACAGAAACAGAAGGGTGAATCCAAACACCCCAAAATAGCCGTAGCTTGAACGGACTTGGAACCTCGAATTGAGGCACAATGGTTGGCTTGACAAAACAAGAGCTAATCCGATGCTCCTAGCTCCGGTCTGGTGCCTGGACACTTACATATATATATATATATATATATAGTGCTCGAAAGGTGTCACGACCCAAACCCGCCTCTATGGGTTTAACACCGTAACCGGCCAGTAATCCATGATTACCGAAGGCCTGCTTAACAGTAATGATAGTAATACAGAGTAAAAGGGCCGGCGGAAACCAAAACAGTAAATAAAAGATGTCCAATGAACTGTGACAGTCTAAATGCAAAAAGACTTTTATGAACAAGTCACATTCGTAACCAAAACACATTTGCATATCAGATATACATACATACATACATACAAGTCAGGGATTCAATCCCTATGCCATAACTGTACAGTAGGAGTCTACAACATCTATTACAAAACAGAAACAGAAGGGTGAATCCAAACACCCCAAAATAGCCGTAGCTTGAACGGACTTGGAACCTCGAATTGAGGCACAATGGTTGGCTTGACAAAACAAGAGCTAATCCGATGCTCCTAGCTCCGGTCTGGTGCCTGGACACTTACATATATATATATATAAACAGTGAGCTAAAGCCCAGTGAATAACAGTTATATGAAGAGTAAGAATGAATGTCCTTTCAGTAGTTAAACAGTCATATTAGTCATTTAGAAACCATAGCAGTCATATGTGGTACATCCAATAGCAAAACAGTACAGTAGGTCTTAACAGACCGAACAGTCAGTTGATGGCCATCATAACAGTAAACAGTAGTGGTTCCAAACATGGGAACCGACAGAGATCTCTGTGTCAGTAACAGTAACAATACAGTAACAGTAAATTGCTATGGATGCCACGAATACAGTTTACAAATAGGACAAACATTCATTCATTAAACAATAACGTTTCACTAAGCAGAACAGTTAATCATTCAGAAAATAATCATAATTGAACATATCTTTACAACATTGTTACTCACAGAGCACTGGGCTATAAGCAGCTAGTGGGCGTCCTCGGGTGCCAACCCTACACAGTTACAGAACGAACACACACTAAGTTACACACTCGGGAATCAACAACTTAGTCCCTATCTTGACTCGGTGTGGTTCTACATCAATATCCTCATTAAGATGCCTTAAACATGGCCTAGGAATGCCTAGGATGGAAAGAGGATACAAGGATACACTTTAAAACACTTTTCAAAATTTGCTGAAATAGGGGTCCACGCTCGAGCGTGGCTTTCTACGCGTCGAACGGACATGCAGACAAAGGAGCTCCGCTCGAGCGTGACTTCCTACGCTCGAGCGGACCGCAAACGTCATGAAAAGTACTAGATGCATGCAATTCACGCTCGACAGACGCTCGACCCCCGCTCGAGCGTAAGACTCAGGTCCTCGCTCGAGCGTGAAGTCTTTCGCTCGAGCGAATTGCAAAACACAAGAACTTCGGGGCATATGCATTTCACGCTCGAGCGTGACTTCCTACGCTCGAGCGGAAGTGCATGTACTCAGAGTGCACGCTCGAGCGTGGGTCCAAAATTTGAAATTTCTAGATTGAACCTCAAGCATGAAATTGAACTTTTAAAGCTTCAAATTCGATCCCCTTGGGCTAATTTTCTGGAAAACTCTTGGAAACTCATAGTATAACATGTTTTTGAAGATCATTTGGAAAATCAAGCCTAAAGGTAAGCCAATTGAACACAAAAATTAAGTGTAAGCACGAAGAACATTGCAAGATCATACATGCATGAGTTCTCATGAACTCTAGTGTTTCAAACAAGATCAAATGCAATGTTGAGCTCAAAATCATGATGAATTCATGGACCATAACAAAAATATGAACTTGCATGTGGAAATTCTCATGAAACAACTCCAAAATTCAAGAATATGCACATGCATGCAAGGAGTAACTCTCAATTCAACATTTTAAACCAATTCTTAACTTAGATCACTAATTTACCATGAACCATGCAAGAAACAATTTAACTACATAAACCAAAGGATGAATTCTCTACCTTAGGTCTTGAATTCTAGGTATGGAAGCTTAATTTTGCAATTTACTTCAATTCCTCTAAGTCTCCAGGCTAATCCTTGTTGAAATCAAGTTTCTCCTACTCTCCCTTCTCTCTCTCTCTTCTCTCTCTCTCTCTCTCTCTCTCTCGGTTTTGGACTAGAAGATGGACAAAATGATGCACCAACTGATATGAATTAAGTCTCAAAGAGTTATATGAAAGTGGCCCACTAATGGCAATTTGGTAATAACTCAAACTAATGTAATTTAACATTATTTAATCCAATTTAATCGTTCCAAATCAAATTTTCATTAAACCTACCATAAAATCACATAAATTCTAACTAGCATACAACACTAATCAATTTCAGATTCGGCCGCCGATAAGGCCTTCAATTTACATTTCGAAACTTAAAACATGAATAGATCGATCAAATGACAAACAGACAGACAATTCACGCTCGACGGACGCTCGACCCCCGCTCGAGCGTGAGACTCAGGTCCTCGCTCGAGCGTGAAGTCTTTCGCTCGAGCGAATTGCAAAACACAAGAACTTCGAGGCATATGCATTTCACGCTCGAGCGTGACTTCCTACGCTCGAGCGGAAGTGCATGTACTCAGAGTGCACGCTCGAGCGTAGGTCCAAAATCTGAAATTTCCAAATTGAACCTCAAGCATGAAATTGAACTTTTAAAGCTTCAAATTCTATCCCCTTGGGCTAATTTTCTGGAAAACTCTTGGAAACTCATAGTATAACATGTTTTTGAAGATCATTTGGAAAATCAAGCCTAAAGGTAAGCCAATTGAACACAAAAATTAAGTGTAAGCACGAAGAACATTGCAAGATCATACATGCATGAGTTCTCATGAACTCTAGTGTTTCAAAACAAGATCAAATGCAATGTTGAGCTCAAAATCATGATGAATTCATGGACCATAACAAAAATATGAACTTGCATGTGGAAATTCTCATGAAACAACTCCAAAATTCAAGAATATGCACATGCATGCTAGGATTAACTCTCAATTTAACCTTTTAAACCAATTCTTGACTTAGATCACTAATTTCCATGAATCATGCAAGAAACAACTTAAATACATAAACCAAAGGATGAATTCTCTACCTTAGGTCTTGAATTCTAGGTATGGAAGCTTAATTTTGCAATTTACTTCAATTCCTCTAAGTCTCCAGGCTAATCCTTGTTGAAATCAAGTTTCTCCTACTCTCCCTTCTCTCTCTCTCTCGGTTTTGGACTAGAAGATGGACAAAATGATGCACCAACTGATATGAATTAAGTCTCAAAGAGTTATATGAAAGTGGCCCACTAATGGCAATTTGGTAATAACTCAAACTAATGTAATTTAACATTATTTAATCCAATTTAATCGTTTCAAATCAAATTTTCATTAAACCTACCATAAAATCACATAAATTCTAATTAGCATAAAATACCAATCAGTTTTAGATTCGGCCGTCGATAAGGCCTTCAATTTACAGTTCGAAACTTAAAACATAAACAGATCGATCAAATGACAAACAGATAGAAATGCAAGTAAAGCAATATACTCTTGCAATCAATTCAGAATTTCAGTCAAATCAATTACTTATCATTCTCAGTTACAGTTTAGCATTAATCAGAGGTGAGGGTTGTCACATCTATAATCCCCTAAACTACTTAAGTTCTCTTTCTTTGGGATCAAAGTGATAAATGAACAATCTGAAACCAGCTTCCCATTTTCATGGAACTCATTCATGAATTGTAGAAACTCCCTCTTCATTATCTTCCAACACTTTTGAATGCAGGCTATATTAAATCCATCTGGCCCCAGAGCCTTATTACCATCACAGTCTTGTATAGTTGCCTAAACCTCTTGCTCTGTAAATGCTGCTTCTAAACTTTCCTTCTGTACAGAAGTAAGGGATAAAAATGGACTAGAGAATTTAGGCCTACAGCACCACTCCTCTGTAAATACTCTTTCAAAGTAATTACAGACTGACCGCTTTACTCTATCTAGATCCACCAACCTTTTCACTTCCTCCACAACTGAATCCAACATATTTTTCCTTTGCCTAATGCTTGCTATCAAATGGAAAAATCTTATATTCTTATCACCACATTTAGCCCACACCATTCTAGATTTTTGATGCCATAAGCTCTCTTTTCTCTTACTCAAATTCCACATTTGACTTCTTACTTCCCTTATTCTAGTTAGTTCAGCTTCTGATAAATTCCTTGCTTTAGCTACCAAATCAAGCTCATGTTGTTCCTCCTCTGCCTTCTTTAACTGAATATCCACATTATCAAAAACCTCCGTATTCCATATTCTAAGATTGGCCCTAAGATTAGCCAA